TTAATGTTCATTAGAGATTAAAATGGACAAATGTAGCTATAGTTTCATAAAGACTTTAGGATGATCTTTCAACTATCATAATATAATGTGGTAAAATAATAATAAAAATGTAGTGACTAACTGCCCTACTCATGGTCAGCACGCAAACGCAGAGTAGGACAGTCAACCAGGGGCTTTCAGATTGGGCGGACATGTGGCAATCGGAGGACCTTTGCTGATGCTTACATACCTCCTCCATTTTGAAGGCTGGTTTAGGGGAGAACAGCATCAATGGGAAACGGAAAGCTGTCCATCAGAGAGAATAAGAAAACCGATTAAGGATCCAGTCAAAGCAGCCTGTCAGAAACATCTGCTCCAGCTCCGCGGAACAGGCTGGCCTTAGTACTCCGACCTCAGCTTCTGCACAGAGCTAAGCTTCCCCACACAGATCCTTAGCTCCTTTTTTATTATTTTATTTATTATTTTTATTCGTATGAGTGTTATACTTGCATGTAGGTAGGTGCACCCATGTCGTGCAATGCCCGTGGAGGTCAGAAGAGGGCAACAGATCCCCTGGAATGGGAGTTATGAAGGTTGTTAGCTGCCTTGTGGGTGCTGGGAGTCAAACCTGGGTCTTCTGCAAGAGCAACCCTGCTCTTAACCACTGAGCCATCTTTCCAGCCTGAATTCTTAGCTTTTTTACACAGCTAAAACTTCAGTTTCTCTGCACAGCTAGGACCTCCACTAGCTTCCACACACAGCTGGGACTATAGACGTTTTGTGATCTTTAGCAGGTCCTTGGAACGCAGCTTTTGATTGTGCTCACCCCCCTGGAGCGCACAGTGTGATGTGTCCAGAGACTCTGGGTGGCTTTAACAAGCTTCACACAGGGTTTTAGAATTCTTATTTTGCGCAGTTGTGGAGGCTCAAATCCCTGGTCTGCTGGTGTGGACCACTTCCTGCCTCTGATTCCATTCACAAAGGGTCTGTCCTCAGGATCTAATTATAGTCCAAAGGCCTCCTAATCCCATGGCCTTGGGGGTAGCACAGAGGTTCTGTGAGGCCACACACAGCACAGCATAAGAGAATGCAATGTGTACTTTAAGACATCAGGATTCGGGGCTAGAGAGGTGGCTCAGCAGTTAAAATCACTGCTTCTCAGAGGACCCGGGTTCGAATCCCAGCACCCACATGGCGGCTAACAACCGCCTGTAACTCCAGTTCCAGGGGATCTGACAGCCCCCTTCTGACCCTCGAGGGTATTGCATGACACATACTTACAGACTTGTAGGCAATACATTCATCCACCTAAAATAAAAAATTTAAAAAGACACCAGAATTCTTTCAGAGCCGGCAGGTGGTGTCAGGTCTATTTCTTCCTATTTAGCTGTCTGTGGACTGTTGCTAGGTAGTGAAGGCAGTACTGATCCCAGGCTATGATCCCAGGTGCTATGAGATGAGGGTCCCCAGGAAGTACAGGGCCTAACTGATCAGTGTCCTAGTATGGTCTGTTTGTATGTAAGGAGGCTTTCCAGGATCACGATTCTCCATTAATACTGGCAGAGACAAATAAAGCCATCCCACTTTTCTTGGTTGAAACCCATTCCTGGGGCCTTAATGAGAAAGGTGGGGGACAGTCAAGTGAGAAACTGTGATGACGTCCTAGAGAAACAAAGTAAGAGATGGGTGCCTGCTTAGAGATCTGAAAACAAAATCAAGCCCAGCTGATTCTGCACTGACTGTAGGAAAATAAATTACCCATGTGCTGGGCAGGAAGGTATTCATCAATAAATAGAATCTGTGACTTACTGTTTCTAAGGACTCTATACTTTGACATAGAACACCAGAGTGTTACTGTGCATTGCAGCATTGGAGGAAATCTTTCTTTCCCAGTCCTGTCGAGAAAAGAGAAAGAGACTATGACTTCATCTAAAATTCACCATAGCTCGCCATTTCCATTTTATTGTTGATTTACACCAGTCATTGAACAGAGACCGTGCAGTTCATGTCCACAGTTCCAAGGTAACACTAAGCCACAGAGACAGGTGTGGAACAAAAGGATGACTGGGGGACAGTCATTGTATCCCTTACAACTTTTTTAGGCCTGGGTCTGGGGAGCCGGGAAGGTACATCAGGAGAGTTGAGCAGGTATACACTTGACTTCCCAGCCAACCCCCCACTCTTCACTGGCAACATGGGTTAACACCATCCACATGGGTTCATTGAGTCCTGCATGGGGGTTTTGCACTGAGGAAAGCCAGCACTGAGCGACAAGGGGATTGGTGTCCTCCCCTTAAAGTGAAGGATGATATGCACCCATCGGGTCTTTGTATTGGTAAGACTGCATTTAAAATATACTTATGAAGCATCCCAGTCACATTATGGAGACATGTTAGCATCCCCTGTTGGAGAGTCTGAATGACCGAGGGCTGAATGAGAGGAAGCCTAGATGAGGAGAGGCAGGCGAGAATCAAGGATTCAACACCCACATGCTTCAGGGGTCTACTTAGATGAAATGCTGGACTAAGCTCAAAGCAGGGTAGGATCTCAGGATGGAGTCACGTGACATTTCTCTCTGGAAAGGTTGAGCTCTATATCTTTCTTCCATGGACTTTTCCAAAGATGTGATTCATATATGTCTTTCTTGTCAGATCTCACAGCTTTCTGCACAATTGACAATTAGAAAGAAAGCCATGAGAGCAGCTGTTCTATACTGAGATGCTAAAAGCTGCTCAGAATGAAACTATCACAGACATAGAAAATTCTGGTAAAACATACTGAAGTCTAGACTCTCCAGCTCTCCTCACCCAGCGGCCTGTAGGTCTGCTCTGAGGATTAAAAGTGAACAGATTTGTCTGTCTGTCATTAAGAAACCATTCTGTAGGGCTTTGAGAGATGGTTCAGTGGTTAAGAGCCATGTAGCCCAGGCTGGCTCAAACTCTCTATGTAGTCAAGGATGATCTTGAACTGTGCCAGCCCCTTGAATGGTGGGATTACAGGTATGTACCACCACAGTGGGCTGACACTTATTCCCACTTTACAGCCACATATGTTTATGGAGTACCATGTTTTCTGATATGCCGGAGGCTCTTTAGCAGGCCAAGCTTTGGTTTCCTCTTTGCATCAATAGCGTGGAGCAGGTTCCCATATAGCAGTGGCTTTTGTTGACTGTAGAGACAAATAACAGCCCAACTCCTGGCCTAGGCTAAAGGGGTTACAGAATGAACCCTCACATTCAAAGGAAAGTTGTGGCATGCCTGAACGCTGTGCCCATAGACACATGGGGGCCAAGATCCTGGGACCTTAGTGGACTGTGATCCTATTCACTGGTCTCCAAGCAAGTCATCCCCAAGAACACTATGTCAGAGGAAATGCAAGCCTCCGAGGGGATCTTCCTGTTCCTTGTGCTCTTAGTATGTGAACCTGTTTACTTATAAAGAGTCTCAAGGAAGAAAAACAGAAGCGAGCGGCCCCCTCAGGGATCATTTGAATATGCAAAATTCACAAGGGCTTTGCAATAGCTGTCAACCCCACACCTGTTTCCAGTTTGAATAATGCATTAATACAAGCAATCCAATTTGAAATAGTAGTTTTTAAATAAATTATAATAGCTATGTCACTAAGTTTAGTAATAATTTTAAGTGATGAAGGTAATGTGTCCCTTATTGATGTGCCTCCAGAGCACATTTAACCTGTGCAACTTTAGTTGGCTATTGGGAAGCACCACTTTGCTCCTGACAAGACTTACTTTTTTATTCAAGTGCAACAGGCATTTGATACCTTCTGACAAGGTACACAGACTCGGGTTCATTAAAAAATAGCTACCAGTAAAATGTGCTTAGAATGTGACAGTTTCTGTGTTCCTCTCCTGTCTCCTTCCCTCCCTGACCGCTCCCTGTGTGCCTCTCTGTCCCTCTCCCTATCCTCTATCATCCATTCATCTGTCCATCCATCTATCTGTCCAATCATCCTTCACCCATCTCTCTGTCATCCACTCATCTATCCATCCTTCTCTCATCCATCCATCTATGCTCGGTCCATCCACTTATCTGTCACCCATCCAGCCACACATCCATCCACCCTTTTATCCACCCATCTATCCATCCAATCATCTGTCTACCTAATATATCATAAATCACTATTAATCACCTGTCATCTATTGTCTACCCCATCTGCTTCTCTGTATTTCTATCATCCCTCTAGGCTATTCTTTTGGTCTTTTCTTTGTATGCCTGGTTACCCAGGGCACAGCCTAACTTCAGGATGGCTTTTACCATCTTTTCACATGATCACATTGTTCATCAACAAAGGAAACAATTTTCTTTCAGGAGAAAGGGTCCTACATTTCACAGAAGGAAACGCCAATGGCCAGAGCCTACCGGTGTGTCAAACAGAAGTCAGTGTTCCTTACCCTCTCCATGCGTCTATCCATCCATCTGATCAGGCCATTGATTGAAAAACTTGCTTAGCATGTGCAAAGCTTTGGTTGCCATTCTCAGAAATAGAAAAGAGATGAAAGAAGAGGAAAATTCAGAATTTTGCCCTGCTAAGTATGGTATTGGCTATATTTTGCAGCACAGAACTCTTGTTATCAGGGATAATTAATCAAGAGCTGTATACATAAACTTTTAAAGATTCTTTCTGTGTTATTCCATGTCCTTGAATCATGACTCATTGATGATAATCAATATTCCTCTTGCTTAGGTTGACTTATTCTCAATTAATCTCGACACCTGAGAGGTTAACATGTTATTGATAAATATGTGATATGAATTGAAGTCAGGAATAAATCTCACCTTAGAGCTCATAATAACTTGGAGCAAATACGTATTTTTGATTAGAAAAAGTTCTAAAATTCAAGTCAGTCAAACCCTATGACTCTTCAACAGCCTGGGAATTGTTTGGAATGCCCTGGGATGAAGGAGCAAAATCTAAGCCCGTAATCCCAGATGTCCAGGGTGAAGAGTGATGGGAGGTACTTATGAAGCAGGGTAACTATTTCTTATTTTCTTTGGATTTAGGTCATCAAGCTTGCCTTTGAAGAGTTTGAGTTGGAAAGAGGATACGACACCCTGACAGTCGGGGATGCTGGGAAGGTGGGGGACACCAGATCCGTCTTGTATGTGTGAGTATGACACACATTCTCGTCTTGATATGCAGCTATGTGGGCAGCTCGGGTTTCCCTTGAGAGTCACTGCACATGTTTAAGAAGTGTCCCCACTTGCTAAGCCAGTGCAGCGTAATCTGCTTTGACATGAGAACTAATCAGAGGTTGTGTTTTATCACTATGAACTGTTTTCTCTAAAATTGAAAAATGTGTTTATGTCAAAAATATAATAAAAGCAACTGAGAGCAGGAAACAGGAAGGACTCTCTTCCACCCAGGGCTCCCTGTCAGCCCTTTGCAGGCCGCCCCTGTGTGGCCAAGTGTTGTTGAGATAGAGGTGCTTTCTGGAATGATGCCATTTGATTACCGGAAACTACTGCATACTATAAAACTCCTCAGTATGAGAAACAGAGATTGCAAGGCAAATGGTCCTGGGGTATCTCCGGGCCAGGGTCCTAGCAGCTCAGGGACAGTGTGGAAGAATTCTGTCATAGGCTAACAGCCCTGAAGGTCCACCTCAGGCAATTCTAGGCCTGGGCTTTGCAGATGATTCTTGTTGGTTTTCATCAGATGTTTTCATAAGACTGAACACATGACCTGGGATGTCCTTCTTCGCGGATCTTTAGCTGAGATGAAAATTTCTTCTCTCCTCTTCATCTCATATATCAGGTAGCAGCTCTTGAGACCAGGGGCCTGACAGCTTCTTTCATTCATGACATGCTGAGGGATTTCACCCTTTTTTTTTTTTTTTAGTCTGTAGAAATGTTGCTGTGGTCTCTTTTTTAGGGGAAAGTAGCCCTTGTGAAGATGAGAGCGTGGTTAGCTTAGCAAAGGGGTGCTATTACCTCACACCACTGGCATGGATTACTTAAGAGGTAATTCACACTTTGGAAAGCCCTGTGGCTCAGCACAAGACCGTGGATGGTCCAGCCCTGGCCACAGGGGGACTTGAAACTTTCACTCTTCTTTTGTCAATAATTAGACCAGTCTGAATGGGTCCCAGGATTACAATGACGTCATGGTTACATGGCCAAGTATTACCCAACACACCCTGGGATATCAAACGCATGCTACCTTCTTAAAGCAATCCTGTGACTCATGGGTTTCCACATCACCCTCCTACCAGCGATGGAGCCACGGCTTGGAAGACTCTGGTCTCTCCTTGCTCTCAGCCCACTGGATGCAGAAGTGATTCAAAACAAGTTTTCCATTCCCAGTCTCTGCCTCTGCCATCCCTGCGGATGAGCCTTGCTGAGAACTGCCCCTCGCTGTGGGACTTTGCTTCCAACAAGCACCCACATCTTTGGCTTTTGTGAGCAACTTTGAAGTGCAAAGTCCTACAAAATGTACAGTCACTTCATTGCCCTTGAGAAAAGTTTTCTGGCAAAGAAATGTAAAGGGTGAAGAGCATCATTGTTGAGATTGTTTTTCTTTTTCAACTTTCCTATAAAATGTATTTAAATGTATGCTCCTGAGACTGAAGAGATGGCCCAGCTCTCTGGTCTCTCCTTGCTCTCAGCCCACTGGATGCAGAAGTGATTCAAAACAAGTTTTCCACTCCCAGTCTCTGCCTCTGCCATCCCTGCGGACGAGCCTTGCTGAGAACTGCCCCTCGCTGTGGGACTTTGCTTCCGACAAGCACCCACATCTTTGGCTTTTGTGAGCAACTTTGAAGTGCAAAGTCCTACAAAATGTACAGTCACTTCATTGCCCTTGAGAAACGTTTTCTGGCAAAGAAATGTAAAGGGTGAAGGGCATCATTGTTGAGATTGTTTTCTTTTTCAACTTTCCTATAAAATGTATTTAAATGTACTGAAGAGATGGCCCAGCTGTTAGGAGCACTGACTACTCTTCCAGATGACCCAGGTTGGGTTCCCAGCACTCACATGGTGACTAATGATCATCTGTAACTCCAGTTCCAGGGGATCCAACACCCTCTTCTGG